CCAGAGCTACGAGACAAGGCTACTAAATTTAAACATGTTCACATTGGAGGTGAGGAGATTAAGGGGGGATATGATCTCCATGTACAAAATGTTCAATGGTGGCAGCAACATTAGCGATAAACTGTTTAAAATTAACTCCATTACAAAAACTAGAGGCCACCACCTAAAATTGGTGGAAAAAAAATTCCAGCACAAGGGGCGAAGGGGGTTCTTCACAGTAAGATCAGTTAGGGTCTGGAACTCACTGCCACAGACAGTGATTTCAGCAAATAATGTGGAATTGTTCAAGAAACTTTTGGACGATTTCTTAAGGGACCGTAATATACAGGGGTACAGGTACTCCTAGAATGAGATCCTAATAGGTTGGACTTGATGAACTAATGTCTTTATTCAACCTCAAATACTATGTAACTATGTAACTATGTAAATATTCCAGTCTGTGAGATCTCTTTTTCTTCAGTTTAGCCAGAATAAAATTAGTCAAATTAGTAATTTTGTTTCTAAAAAAAATCCACATCATTCTTAAATTTTATCGAAATGGAGAAACTTCTTTGAGATTGGACAATTTCATTGAAAAGTATGTAGGTACAATGAGACCAGTGATGGCTTAAATGTGATTGGTTGCTATGGAGAACCCCTTTACTTCTTATTGCCCTATTTAAAGCCCAAGTCTACTTAAAAAAAAAAGAAAGCCATATTCCACCTCCTACAAAAAATATGAACTGCATGCACATGCTTAAAAGTAAAAATTTGCATTTATTGTTTGCACATGGAGCCAGTAAAGCAGTGGATGTTAGGTGCAATGCTCTGGCTCTTGCAGACTATTCCTCAGTCCCTTTCTGTACTGAGGTACGGACTTTGTTACAGGGATGGGAGGAAGTGTTAGTAGACTACAAGTGTGGTGATGTCACAGCACTTGTACACCAATGTGAAGTCCCTCTGCTGTGGTGGAAGACGGGACTTGTAGTCTCCTTAATCACAGATCTTGTCAAATCATCTGTGAATGGATGACGTGGATGTGCTGACGTGGCTTAGCCAACGTAGCCATGCACAGCAATTCCAAAATTCTAAAGATTACAGCAGCCTGAGTGGAGAAAAACCTTGTGATTCAGGTAAGTGGGGGGTGGCGGGCAGGTTGGGGGTGAGGGCTCGGGATGTAGCCATGTTTTATGTTACACCCTAAATATGGGTGTACCATGAAACATGCTGAGAAACGTAAACTTGGCCCAGTGTATAGCTGGACAGAAGATTGATTAATACACCCCCAAGTGTCATTCAACCCACTTACTGTAAGGGCAGGGTGTCACTGACCCACCACCCGGGGAGAGTCACCACAGTACCTAAAGCTGGCCATACCCCTAGAGTTTTTCTGCAGATTTTCAGATGGAAAAAGTGCAACATATTCCTCCATCTACGCTAAACTGTGGGGATTGTAACAATCTGATTGGATACAGGCATTGTTCATGTGTTTTGAGAGCCAGCGGGGCTGAGTAGCAAGATACTGAAGTTTGGCCCAGTGGGAGATTCCTCCAACCACACAGTTTAGCGTAGATGAGGAATCTGTTGCACTTTTTCCATCTGACTATAGAAAATCTGCAGATAATCCTATAGGTGCATGGCCAGCTTTACACTCACAGTATAATGATGTGGGGTGCGGTGCTGACATCATTACGTAAGCGACACTCTGCATCACTAAGGACTTCCAAACCCGGAGAAAATAAATAGGAGGACCCTGCCTCTGTCCAGGGATCAGCCTGATAACCTGTGGAAAAAAATATATTTATATATTAAAAAGAGTAAAGAAGCAAACCTCTGGGGGCTTGTTAATTAAGGCAAAGAACAATTAGCAAAATGCAGTAACTAATAGCAACTAGTCAAAAGTTGCCAAGCATTGTGCTGACTACTCTGGGCTGGTGAAAGGCATGATAATGTTGGATTGCCACACACCATTGCTCTCTGTATTGCATTCTCAAATAAACCTTCTATTCTACACTCCTTTATAAATATGCAGGTTGCAATAAATATAATCTTTGTTTATAGGCACAAAAATTACTCTCTGGCAACACATGCCCTACTTTTTTAAAGGGCACATACAGGTGAAACTCGAATATTTAGAATATCGTGCAAAGTTTATTTATTTCACTAATGCAACTTAAAAGGTGAAACTAATATATGAGATAGACTCATTACATGCAAAGCAAGATAATTCAAGCCGTGATTTGTCATAATTGTGATGATTATGGCTTACAGCTCATGAAAACCCCAAGAACCCCAAATCCACAACCTCAAAAAAGCAGATTATTACATGCAATCAATAAAACAAGGATTGTACATAGAATAATATCGGACCTCTGAAAAGTACAAGCATGCATATGTACTCAGTACTTGGTTTGGGCCCCTTTTGCAGAACTTACTGCAATTACTTTTGCATGATATTCTAATTATTCGAGTTTCACCTGTATATTGGTTTGCTACTTTTTTTTGGCTTATTACATCAAGGCTGAAAATAATAAACATTTTAGATTATTAGAACTTAATTAACTCCAAAGGAAGGTAATTGGCTCCTGTCTAAATTGGTCCTGTATGTATGAATGTAGGATAGGGACGTTCCATTGTAAAGCTCCTTGGGGGCAGGGACTGATGTGAATGTGCACTATATAAAAAGCTGCTTAAAAATGTTGTTGGCTCTATATAAATACTTGTAATAAATAAATGTAATAATCATATAGAATTATAGGTATGGGGTGCTCAGGCAATAATGATTGGTCCACAAACTGTATATATTATATTTTAAAATAATAAACAATGCATAAATAATTGTATACTGTTTTAGCCATGTAAATATGGAAAATTAGTTTTTGTTATATCTTTGTCTAATCTTATAGAACATTGTCCAGTGTTTGGTCAGCCTATGTAACACTCTCTTGAATCTGGTTGATATGGGTAACATGAATAACCAGTATATGTGTTACCCATTTTGTAAATCAAAAGTTTTGGGAGATTGCTAGCTCAAAAGTATAGCACCAGTAATAAAATAAAATATATCAAATGCAACGCTGTTACCCATGGCAACCTTACAGTTTTTTTTATGAAAGTGTAAATATGTTTCTATTTTGTTTTTTGCTTACATGGCACTTTTTTTTTGGCTCCTCACAATTCTTCTCAAACATTTGGCACTCACCATCTGATAATCTTCTTGCCTGATAAGTAGTTTAAAAAAATGTCAGTGTCGATTTCCTCCCTGTACTCTTCAACTATTGTTACAGACTAAGCAATCAAACATTCCATAGTGTGGGCAGCAATTTTCTTTAAATGTTTTTTAGTATCCCCTTTTTTGAAAAGTGAGTTTCTGTAAAAAATACTTTGGGTATCACTGAAAAGAAAGATAGCTGTTCTCTGAAATCTTGTGTGCTGGTGTCGTAAAAATATTTAAAACATACAAAATGACATCAAACATCATAAAACGGTTATGTCAGTGGTAAAAAAAATATATATTGTTGACTTGGCTAAAAAATATTAAGAGTCCTCGGTACCAATAAGGGTGCTTTTGCAGGTACAGATGACTGATGAAAAACTGAAACAGTCACCATAGCAACCAATTAGATTTCTTGCCTCATTCGACTGATGGAACTTGATTGAATGCTGTTATTAACTGCTCCGCTTTTGCTCCATTGTGCTTTGTTCTGTTTTATTGTGAATCAGGCGTTGTGTGTATGTAGAAGGACATGTAACTGTTGCATTGGTATAACGTGTTTTCTTTCTCCCATTCTCATTGTAGGCCAATACAGAGCTTCTTGGTAAAGCAAATGTTTGTTGCCCATAGCAACAATATTCTATCAGTTTAGAGCAGTTGCTGCGCTTGGCCCTCTCCTTATTTATAGGTCTGATTGCTTCAGATCTGTTGATGTCTTACTTATCACGCGGCATACAATTCTAGACCTGCTTAGAGAGTATTTTGTGTTGTGAATTTGCCGCATATTTACAGTATACGTTTCAGTCTAGACAGCCATCATTCGGTATCTTCAAACGCTCCTAAAAAGCCTTTGAATGAGACACATGAATGTTATCAGTGGCAATGAGCCTCGGCTGCCATTCGAAAAAGACTTTTTCATAATACAAGTGGCAAGGTTTAAACAAAAGGGGGCACGCATAATAAAAATGCAAATGGCCTTGCCTTTCCGAAAATGATAACTTTAAAGGCTTTTGTTGGGCGTTATCCCGAAGCCGCCTTACAAGGTAATCACCGTTGGCCTAGAGATTTAAAGGGAAAGGGCTCAATAGCACAAGACGCCTGCACAGCCCTCTGTGTGACAAGCATGCAAAGCCACGTTAATGTTCAGAATATGAATGACCTGCGGGTGGATGCAGCAGCACCAAGGAGAGAGCCAACTGTGCTGCTATCAGTGGGCCTGATGGACTCCATGCGGCTTCCAGGCTGAAAACTTCAGGGCTTTGACATGTGATGTGCTCCTTGTGACACTAGCCGCGCTGTCACAGAGAAACGGTACAAAGACAACAAGCCCCCCTCCCAACAAGAGCACTTCACAACCCCCCAGCGCTGCCCGCACCACAAAACTGCCGGCTTTACCCTAGTTACGGCCTATATTTTCCTAAATAAAAAAAAAAAAAAGCTCATAGGGGAAGTGTGGGTGTGCTAGGCCCAGCTGCCGTCCTGGACTCAGCCTCCATAATAAATTGACCTGAATGATGAGGCCATGCAAAACAGTATGATAGGCATTATCCCTGTCAATAAAAAATGCCCCCATGTGTTTATAGTCTTTGTATGTAATGTACTCCAGGCTTTCAAGAACTCCCTTTCTATTTTTTTTCTCTCTCTGCATCGGCCTTCGTCCTCTTTTCCTATTCATATTTTAAATATGCAGCAGTATGCAAGAAACAATATGACGAGCATCCTGGATAATTATTACAGCTCAGCGGCGTGCTAAAAAGCCCCTTTTGTTCCATGCGTTCTAAGATAAAAAGAGTCTGTAATATTGCAGATCGTTTACCAATCAGAAGATGACCCGGAGAAAGAGCGGCTGCTGGAAGAAAACAAGGAGATGAGGGGAGAGATGGATGCGCTGCAGGACAGGGTCCTCCAGCTGGAGCTGGTTCTGAAGCAGAAAGAGAAATGCATCCACTTATTAGGTAAAAACTGCGCTAAAGTTTCATGTGTTGAGGTTCCATCACACTCAAAATGGATGCAAATTTGCCATTTTATTCCAACTGATAGTAAACATAACCATTAGATGGTAGTTGGACATATGGACGTGTTTCCATTCTCTAAGGCCTGATTCACAACTTTGCATTGTGATAATGCGCGAAGCGCGTTGCAGTGCCATTCCTTTTGAATATAACATCAACGCAGAGCCCCAACGCGCCAAAGTACACAGTTGTCAATTATGTTACACCTGAAAAAAAATAACTCGCAGGTGTAATAAAAGGTCTATTGTGGTGCCTTGGCAGGTCGCTCTAAATAAATAGGCACATTATCGAAATACAAGGTAATATACATCAATATGTGTGCCATAAATGTGTGAATCCGGCCTACTGGTTGATTTTAAATATAATGGGGGGAATTTATCAAAACTGGAACAGAGTCTGGAGCAGTTGCCTATGGCAACCAATCAGCATCTCTCTTCAGTTTGCTCTGTTGAGATTTTAAAATGAGACGCAGAAGCTGATTGGTTGCCATGCAAATCTGCTCCAGATTTTGTCTGCTCCAGTTTTGATAAATCCCCCCCAATGTTGTTATAAACACAATGCTGTCTGTAATGTTTTCGCTGCCTGAGGCGATGTGCAGTCATTCTGGGAGGGGATGCTCTGGACAACGGCTCTGACCAGAGTCCTGCCCATCTCACTGGTGTCATCGGTTTCCAGGAGCTCGTAGGACGCAAGCCAGGAGCTGAACGCCCCCCTCAACCAGAGACGTAAGTGAGCTAGGCGGGAAGCCACACTGAGCTTCACAGGTTGCTAAGAGTTCTTAGAAACCTGAGACGCTGTGAACGCTCCCCTGACCCATCCCACCACACAACCCCTCCTACCCAATGAGATGTCGCCTAAGGCAACCTGCCTCCTTATAGGGAGGTTGTAGTTCCGCTTTAAGTTTCAGCTCAACATCTGATATATGACAGTTTCTAAAAATAAATATTTAAATAGACTTTTATAGTCTATTTAAATTACAGTAACATTTTCTGACTGATTACTTCTTTTTTAATACATTTTGAATACATATTTTGCATTCCTATACTTTTACTGTATGAGCATAATGGGTTTTTTTTTTAACTGTTGGGCCATGGAAGGTTTTAAAAGAATTTACTGGGCTCGGGTCCTGCTCTAAGGTTGAGAACCACTGTTGTAGAGGGTGCAGATATCTCGGGGACCAGCCTGTAGTGACTGTTTGTTCTTTTAAAGTAAATAGGCATTGGTTTGGTCCCTGATACCTGCCCTGTATATAGGAATTCTTTTGATTCCATCTGGAAATTATTAGAGGACGGTTAACTTTGGTTATTGGAACTCTTGCACTCTGGTGCTGGAATTCTGGGTTTAGTTTCTTTAAGAAACTCTGCATGGAGTTTGTATGTTCTGGTTTGCTGCCACGAACATAATGGTGGGTTAAATGGGATATAACTAAATAAGGCCGAATGCATAAGTGTGATAAGGACAATAAGTTCATTTTGGGAGGGGGAACTAATGTGAAATGCTTTTTTATCCTCTGTAAAGCTTTGTGTAATATATCAGTGGTCTATGCTGTATGTAATTGCTGGCTGCAGACAGGCTGAATTTTTAGCCATATATACACATTCTCAATTCCCTTTAAATCTGCCATCTAACATATTTTATGTATAGTTTTTTTTTCTTTTTTTTTAATGAGTGTTTGTTTTTATTTAATGCTGTCCTTGTGAATGTAATTTTACAAGCAGAAGTGCCCTGTGAACCTGTATAAAGCACCCCTTAAAGTACTTCAGTAATTCACTGCGGCATCACTCCCTCACTGCCGTGCACCAGAGAGGAGTTACGCTGTCACTGCTTCCTTACTAGTATTTTGTGAGCAAGAGCAACTTCCTTCAAAGTCATTTGGTGCCAGCAGCAGAATGGACAGTGTGTTATAATCTTTATGTACCAAAGCATTAGTATAGCAAGGCAGAGGAACCCATGATGATGAATCTGATTTTTCCATGTTAAGCAGTCAGATCAGTAAAATGAGACTAATAAAATGGTTTGGGTTCCATTTGCCATAAGTATAAAGATGAGCAAGTTAGCATTCCTTTAATTCTACTGTGTTCACATTTTGAAGACTGAAGATCCTTATGTGACTATTATCCATGCATGCTGTAATCATTAGTTTAGCCCAAGCATGCACAGGTCTAGTTTTTTAACCAAGCTTTGATGTTATTACTATAATAATGCTACCTTCACAAGGGTGAAGTAGAACAGAAATGTGTGTCTTAGATTTAACGCAGGTGCTTTCAATTGCATTGGCATAGTATGTTAACATGTGTTGTGCTACCTTGCATTTTTTGTTTAATTTTTACACTAAGCTATATAGGTATTGGTTGTAATGTTGTCTGTTGTGTCGACGTGTGTTAAACATGCATTGCATTGAAAAAAAGTAGTGCCTGCTCTACTTTTTTTCAGCTTGGGGTAGCAGACATTAACACAATGCATTTGTGTGAACAGGTCCCATTCACACCTATTTATTTTTCAGATGTCCTTGCGTTGGCATCCCTTGAAAAAGGGATGCCGGCACATCTGGTGTGAATGGGGCCTAAAACAATTAGGATTCATATTACTGACTCTTTTCAGAGGAGTTCATTAATCTGTGAGATAAGACAAGAACCATATTCTGCCCACATGTTTGTCATATGACTTAATGGGACTTCTTATCTTTTCATGCCAGAGCTATTCAGCTCCAGAGAACCACCTGCTAAAGTCCTTCGTATTTGCTGTGACTAACAGCGAGGATGTCCAGTATTGGTATTGATGAAAAGCAGGAGGTCCTCCGAGCCACACTTGGCTCTTGAACTTACTTCTTAATTTCCCTGCAAGCAGCCGGCCGAACAGCAGGCAAAAGACCTTGAATGTCAAGGGCAGTTGTGAGGGTCAGAGTGATGCCAGGACATTCGGCCACTGAGAACTGACCGGGTCTTCTGTGCTGACCTCCGCAGCGAGCTTTCAATGACAGGCCACAGGAATGAGATTTCACGCTCTGCTATTTTGTTCTTTTGTTCCAGATCAGGATGTGGGCGCCATGAAAATGAGAATGGAAGAGGACCAAAGAACCATTGAGAAGGTGTGACTTTTGACATTAAGTGATGGCTTTTTTACGTATGGTAATAGCCAGCCTGTAGCATTATCTCAATCTGCTACAAAACAGGCCAAAAAAAAAAGGGCCAGCGAACAAAACTGTTTTGTATGTTCAGATTGATAGCTTATTTAAAGGAGATGAAAAGTTGACAAGTGGCCTATCAAAGCGATGTGCATAGAGAACTGGTTTATCACAGAGCTAACTACAGCGGCATTATGTCATCGACTAGAGCAGGGAAAAGAGCTCATTAAATGAAATTATGACATTTTTAGCAATGTGCTCTCATTTAACAGCTTGGACAAAAAGGGAAGGCTGCTTAATCACATTATAATCTCAGAAGGTTCAGCTAAAGGGGCAATTTGCTTCAAAATGCTATTGCCCAGTGCTAATTTTTTAGGTTCTGATTTAAAGCTCCCAAAGCATTCAGAAAGCAGAGGAATCAGCTACATTAATTTCCAACTTTCTGTTGAAGCCATACAATATATTTTATTTTATTTACTTTCAGGGCTTGTTCACACCGAATGCGGTGCGTTCCAGAGCGGTAGCTGCTGGAACGCACCGCGATCCCTCACAAATCTTACCCCTGCATTCTGGGGCAGGAGGGGGCGTGGCGGTGCATTGAATTCAATTTCACCGCTTCCCCGCCCCACCGCCCGCAGTGCGATCGGACTTGTGGCAAAACTTTGCCTGCAAACGCAAAAATGAGAGCTTCCCCATGTGCTTAAATTAATTTAAAGTGAAAGTCACTTTAAATTAACTTCTGCTACAGAATTAACTTCTGCTACTGATACTTACCTTCATTGTGCACCGCTTCTGCCCCATTAACATGCTCCTTTTTTTGTTGGAGCTTACATACCTCTATGAACCTTCAACTCACCCCCACATTACAGTGCGTAAGCCTGATGATTGGCCATTCAGATGCTGAGCACAACATCATGGGAGGAGGGGTGGAGGATCATATATTTGCATATAGACAGAGTATCTAATGGGGCTTTGATAGGCAAATGACGCAGTAGGGGAGTGCGGAAAAGGTACATATCAGGATACATAGTTCACAAAAAGACACGTATACATTACTTTCAACCAAAAAGTAAAATGCTTTGCATTCTCAGAATTTAGCATTCTCTCCCAAACCCACAGTTGACCCAATGAAAGGCAGAAAAAAACCTTTAAAGTTTGGGCCAATTTTCTCTAACAGGTCAAAAAGTAATTCCTGATTCCCAAAGGCAATTCTACATTGTTATTTCTTATAAATATTAGCCCTTAAAGAGGTTAAGCTCCAGGTTTACTTTAAGCACCTTCTGATTTTACCCACCAATGTTCACTGGTAGGCAAAAAAAAATAAAAAATCACTATACATTTTGAGGCTTGGTGCTGCCCACTCTAACCCTAGGCATCGGCCCATTAGGACCCAATGGTAAATATAGCCCTTATTCTAGGCATGTGTTCATCTATCAGTCATTTACTATGCAGTAATTGTATATTGCTATTGAAAAATATAATCTTGCTTTCTTTTATTACAGCTGTCTGTTACTCAGCAGCAGCTGAAACTTGAGTTGGAGAATGAAAAATCTGCCGCCGCCACTTTGGTAAGATATGTCAACTTTCCTTGCTTGTGTGCTGTATACTCTGTTGTTTTCACTTCATCCTGTCTATTATGTTCCTGTGGGCATCTGCCTGGAACGACGTATGAAATGCTACTACCGCCAAATCCATTCCATTCGCAGGGCCAAGAACGTACTAGACTGACACTTGATCAGCTAGGTCTAGCCAATTTTATGTAAGTGATTTCTGGGATATTGGTCTATGATGACAAATACATTTTCAAATGTTCAGTATATTCATATATTCATTTTATTTTTGTGTTATAATTTGGTAAAGAAGGGCTGTAAATGAGTGAGATAAGTGGGTTGCAGTAGTGACATAGCGGCCCGTCGATGGAACCATAGTACACAGTGCGGGGGACTTGGTTTTCGGTGTAACTGGATGTGTTGGATACCAATGGCAGCTGTAGATCTGCAAGAGAGCAAAGACTGGAGTTGTTGCTTGCTACGCAGGTACGTATTCTTCTGTTTCTTATACAAGCTGCTGCTATCATTATTGTTTGCATCAGAGACAGGTTTGCTTTAAGAGAACTATAAGATACCTCTAATTATGCTATTGATCCTGACTGCACTCACCAAGCAGGCCTTAATATCTCTCTGATTTCAAAGCATGGGCATGGGTTGGTCATCATGCTGTGGTTCCTCAGCCATGAAAACAAAGCCATCCCCCACTGGAAAATAGAATGGCTGGAATTCATAGAAAGCTGGAATTGGTATGGCCAAAACTTACGTTTTGTTCCAGAATTCTTTGAGACTTCAATATGCCCTGTAAAGATTCAAGACACCCTGTGACAGATGCAGCAATGGAGCTCCAAACATAGCTGAGTCTCCTCCATGTTTCAAAGTATGTATGCTGTTCTTTTCATTGAACACTTCATTTTTTTCATCTGTGAACATAGAGCTCATATGACCGGCCAAAAAAATCCAGTTTTCTCTCATCTGTCCAAAGAACATTCCCTCAAAAACATTGTAGCTTGTCAACGTATTGTGCGATCAGACACTGATACGTATCTTGTAGTTCAGCCTGTATATCTTTGGAAGATTCCTTGGCTTTATCTTTCTGTTCAATCTAGGGTTGATTTCCCTCTTGCGGCACCTTTCAGGGTGCTTGGCTACACTCCCATTAACCTTACACTTCTTATTAACATGTTAAACTGTAGTCACAGGAATATCGAGCTCCTTGGAGATAATCTTATACCATTTCCTTTAATATGTTGGTCTCTAATGTTCTTTCTGATATCCTGAGACAACTCTCTCCTTTGCTTTCTCTGTCCATGTTCAGTGTGATGCACACAACGATACCAAACAGTAAAGTGACTAATTGTCTCTATTTAAATAGACCGACTGACTGATTACATGATTGAAAACATGTGTGTTGCTAATTACTGAAAACGGCTCATTTTAATTTTTATTATGATCCAGTATATATTTTTGTCTAGGGGTGTCAACAAATCTGTCCATTTAAGAATATCTTTTAAATTAAGTAATCATTTTTTTTTTTTACACAATTTTTTTTTTTGCTTTACTCCTATGACATACCAAAGACAAGCAGATATATACAAGACACTTGCATTTAATGTAATCAACTTTCAGGAGGAATGAAGCATTGTTTTAAGGAGCTGTAGAGGTAACAACAAATTTGTCCACATCTTTGTGTAGGATTTTGAGGGAGATTATTTTAGCTGAATTGGATTCAGAGTAAAGTTCTGTTTTTAAAATGAACCAGAGCCTTGCTTATACAGGGTAAGGAAGCAGGTTCACAATTACCGATGTGCTTCATAATTTATAATGTTCGTTATGTGTTTAGATGAAGCACTGAGATCTTGAGGAAGGCTGAATTAAGCTTTACTTGCTTATTAAGACATTACATGTGAATACAGCATAGTAAGAAAAACATAAATATAGCCTCAGCCGTAGCTCTATCTTTCTTTTGTAGGTGCCTCTCGTCTTCGCTGCTTAGCTTTCCAGATTGAACAGTCCTTTTTCCGGGTGGCCAGTCTTTATACAGCAAAAACACACTCTGCTTTCTTTGTTTTGCTTTGTGCTCTCATGCACCTTGAGTGCTTTCTCGTTTTCTTCATTGTGCATATTTTCTTCCCTTCTGTCATATTCATCGATTAATTTTCCTTTGACGTATTCTAGTGTGAGTTCCTGCTCATGTCTGGTTTCTAGAACATTAATAAGAGCACTGTATGACTCTGGAAGGCTGCATAGCAGTAATGCCACCACGTGGTTATCTTTAATTTACACTCCACTTTCACAATTTCCAGCATGGCATTCATATGTTCATGCATTTCTCTGCCTTTTTCTAGCCTCATCTTATATAGCTTACGTAGCAGATATAGTTTACTGTTTAGTTTTAAATGCTCATGCAGTTTTTGTAATCCAGTCCACATACCTTTAGCTGTATTTTCTTTTCTTATGTGGATTAGCTGGTCATCTTACACTAGCATACTTATAATTGCTTTTGCTTGCCTGTTCTTCTTGTCCTATTCCTCCATGAGTCCATTAACGGGTCTGTCTGTACTCAGTACTTTCCACAAATCATCTTTGCTTAGCAGCATTTCAAGCTTGAACTTCCATAGCTGGTAGTTGGTATTGTTGAGCTTTGTGATTGCAAACTTCATATTTGAACTGCTTGCCATCTTTCAGTAGCTTGGATGAGGCTCTTGTTGACTTGCAGTGTTCTGTTTAGTGCCTGGGCCCATACCCTGTTTGTTATGTATTTAGATGTAACACTGAGATCTTGAGGAATGCTGAATTAAGTTTTTCTTGCTTAGAAGGACATTTTATGTGAATGCAGCATAGTAAGGAAAACAGAGAGACTAACATTACACTACAGCTCAAAAGACATAACAGTATGTCGGTACATTAGAATGTCCGTAATACAATCAGTACATATCATGTTGCATTTCAGACAAATAATACTGGGCTTCCCTTTCCTCCCCTGCTACTATGTTGCTGCAAATGCAAATTGACATATCAGTTACTTCAAGGTATAGGGAAGCATTTGACTCACTTCCAGGTATGGATGAGCATATAGTGATTGGCCACTCATGCACCCTATATGGGGCTACATGGGGCTGGGGAGAGAGTCCTGAGCCCTGGAGCTAACGGTGCTTTTTCTCATCACAGGCAAATGGAGAAGCAGGAAAGTGAACTGATGGCAAATTTATGTTATTAAAGAAAACATTTTGCTTTGCCAATAATGGACAAAACGCAGAATCACTTGAAAAGTTCATGCAGTTGAGCATGAGTGTTTGGGGCGGTCCATTCTAGGCATTGAAAATTGAAGCATCAAGGTACTCAGATGCTGCAGCCCACCCTCATTGCTGTGTAATTTTATTATGATGTTATTATGCAGGATTTATATAGTGCCAACAGTCTGCGCAGCGCTTAACAATATAAGGAGGATATTACAGTTACAATACAAGTCAAGACAAGATTTTAAGGAGGGCAATAGTCATATTCAATAGTCAATAAAATCTTTTTCTGCCTCAGGAGTCATGGAACAATCATCAGGGGCTGAAAAGAAGACCAAGCACCCCGTTTTGACTGCCTTGTGTATAGGGCCTTACATGAACAAGAGACCCTTGTTTCTTGCAGTCAGTTTGTCCTAGTTAGAATGAGTGAGCTCAGAGTAATAATTCATAACTCGTCACAACAAAAAAGCAATGTGCCTATTGATAGCACGGCTTCCCATCCTACTGCTCCATTATCTGAGCAGTCTGCAGCTCGCTCTTCCTTGCAGCATCAATAAAACTGCTTTTGTTACACAAGCTGCCCGCCTTGTTTACCACAAAATAAAACACAGCTTGGTCCCAACATTCATACATGTTCGGCATAAGAATATGACACCGCTGTCGTTGTCACCAAACCCCACTGTCTTTAGATATGTAAAGAGTCACTTCCCTGCCACTTGTCAAATTCCGTGCCAAGTCATGACAACTATTTGATTTCACTAGGCTCTGCCTTGTGCATTGTCAGGTTTAGAAATTCATGAAAAACGACACTTCATCACTACAATAGGGCCATTCTATGAAACCATTTGGTGAGGGCATACCAGCAAGCATAAATGGTTCTGTGGCATCTTATTGAAGTCAATAATGAGAAGGATGTTGGCATGTTGAATCCTTGCTGAAACTGAAATTCTACTGAAGCCAAATAAGGCAGCGATACGTTTTTAACCCTGGATCCCAACCACTGCAATTAAGAGAGCTATGTACTGAAATTCTGCATTTTAGAGTTATTGTTTTGTTAGTCTATCATACTTTGGAAGCATATGTTTCGGTTTGGATGTTGTTTTTGCTTTAGTATTGTTACTGTTACTGAAACGGTTAATTCTAAAACTGCACTCCACTGCATCAGTCTGTTGGTTATGGACACTAACTGGAGGTCTCATAATTATATTTTGTAATCCAGAGATTTTCCAGTATACCATATAT